CACAAATAAATAAATAAATAAATAAATAAATAAAATTAAAGAATAAGCCCTAGGCGCCAAAGATATAAAAAAAAGAACTTTGTCCCTGACGCCATAGGCTTACGTGGAATTGAGACCACGCTGTCTACAGTAAAAAAAGTTCTTCCAGAAGTTTATTTTTTGTACTGAAGGTATAGCTGATTAGTAGGGTGCTTGCCTAGCATGCATAAAGCCCTGGGGTTCAATCACCATGGATGCTAAGTAACTAATTAAATAAATATAAATAAATAAATAAAATAAAATAAACTGGGGTACAGTGGCATATACCTATAATTGCAGCTACTTGGGAGGTTGAGGCAGAAAGATCAAAAGTTCTAGGCCAGCCTTGGCAACTTAGAGAGACTCTATCTTAAAATAAGATTATAAAAAGGGCCAAGGATATAGGTCAGTGGTGGAGTGCTTGCCTAACATGCGTGAGGCCCTAGCCTCTATCCCCAGTACTGCAAAAACGAACAAATGAGAAAGATATTCAATACACCTAAGCTACAGAGAAGCTTAGTGCACGGTACACTGGAGAGTATCGGCCCATTGCCCACATGATGGTGTGGAAGATCAGGAACCCAGCTCACAGGGTGCTTTGTATTGTGAGCTCAGGGACAGGTCAAAATGCAAAATTGCGAGTGTGCTTTGGATTGTTTTTGGACCCCCCACAAAATCAAAGTATTCTAAATGAAACATCATGAGTTGGGGTCTTCTATAATTTTTATCGCATGAAAACCTGCACGTGCCTCTTCCTCCTGGGTCCCTTCTAGGTCCTTCCTGGCCTCTGGCTCAAGTCTGATCCCCACGGAATGGTTTCTGAGAGGTTGGGGGAGAGGATACCCATTTGCTTTGCTAATCCCATCTCACGTTGCTCCTGTTTGCTCCAGCCCTCATCATAGCCCACACTGTGACCCCAGTAAGACACCGGTACCCTGCCATAGCTGCTGTGCGTACCCATGACTTTTTATGTGACACAAACTATCCCTTCTGCCAGGATTTCTCTGCATCATCTCACCTGTGTCATTGTCACCTCTTCAGGAAGCCCTGACTTCTCTGCGCCTCCCTTACACCTGTGCTTACCTGAGTCTCAGTTTGGATCACTGGCTGTCCTCCTTCTCTGTTCCTCTCTGGGCTCTGAACTTCTTGAGGGCCCTCTCATCTCTGAGCCCCTATGCCTGTAGATAGCTGGTACTTGATACATGCTAGTTGAATGACTAAATGACTTGGGTACTATTCTGTCTTAAGTCTGCTGGGCCCTGTCTTTTCCCCCTCCTCTATTGAGATTTTCTGTTCTCCTCATCCCAGATACTCACGGTAGTAGCTGCTCCCCTTCTTCTCCTCAGGGACCTCTGGGGACTCTTGGGAGTTCTGCTCTCTGGTCAGCTGCTCTGCCATGGCCTGATGGGTGAACAGCATGCTGGGCAGGAGCTGAGGAGTAAGAGGATGGGGTGGATCTGTTTCCTCCCTGGCTTCTGTCCTCCAATATGTACCAATACTATGTCTTGGTTAGACAAGCACCCACTTCCCTCTGCTCCACTGCTGAGTGAGAGATGCCTAGTACAGAAGCAGCCTTTATTCAGTGCTGGGTGCTATCCCAGAGAGGTTGGTGAGCACCCTTGCTCTGGGTTACTCAAGGGCTAGGAGGCGGGAGTCTAGTGGAGAAAGATGGGTCCTCACAGTGGAGAGCAGGGCTGGGGGCCTCCTAGGCAGAGGGACCAGTGCTAGTGGGGCTCTGTGGACTGGGGTCACCTTCATACCTACCTCGCTCTGCACACCCACGGGCACATGGGCTGGCTGACACCGGGCAGGGAGTCCCAGCAGCAGGCAGGGGGAGGGTGGCGCCCGCACCTCCCACATAGGGTAGTTGACTATGATGAGCTTGCTGAAGTTGAACTTATAAGTGAACCTTTTGCCTCTGGTCTTGTGCAGGATCCTCTTGTTGTAGTAATACCTGGAGAACCAAGGTTGGAGTGGAGGCTGAGGCAGAGTTACCCTTCCCAAGCCAGCAAGGCCAGCTGGAGGATACCAGGCATCCTCCCAGGGCAAGGACATTTGCCAAGGCTGGGGCAAGTGGGACTTGGACAGGGATGCCAGAACCACAGCCTTTGTCCTCGAACTCTGCCTGCTCTGGCTGTGCTGGCTAACTTGGCTCACCTGAGGGCCCGGCTGAGCTTGTCATAATTCATCTGTGGTTTGCATTTCCTGCGGCCCCAGAGGCGGGCCACCTCATCTGGATCCTTGATGACAAACTCCCCGAACTCTCCCTGCTGCCAGGCGATGACATGGCGGAACTCTTCCTTTTGCAGCAGTTCCAGGATGAAGTGCCACAGCTGGATCTGCCGGGAGCCTGGGGAGGACTCAGGTTTGTAGGCCCAGTCAGGGAAGGCCAAGCCTGGGGTGGGGAAGGGAGTGTGAGGGCTGCCATGCTACTCCGAGCCCCTCCCCCCACAGCAGCTGCAAGAGTATAGGGGGCCTGGCAGAGAGGCTCACCTGAGATCCAGTAGTTGCCAGGGGTGGCCGGGATGCCCTCAGCCAAGCAGCTACAGTGCATGGTCTAGTGCAGGGAAGAAAGAGCTGAGGCTGAGTCCTAGGGTTGGGAACAGCCACTTCTTAGGAGGAAGGGAAAGAAAGAAGGAATAGAGGTCAGGAAGGAAAGAAAGCTCAGTCCAGGGAAGAGAAGGGAGGCTGAAGCAGGAAACTTCCCCACACCCAGGGCAGGACTCAGCCTTGTACCCACAGGTGCTCTGGAAGCATTTGTTCAGTTAATAAACCAGGGGCAAGGAAGAGGGGATCATGGTGTTTCCTTCCTGGGGAGGGAAGGGAAGGGAATGAGCGGCGCTGACATAGACTGGCTTGATACAGATGTAAGGAGGAAAAACAATCTGAGTAAACTCTTCAAAGGGAAGAGAGGATGATGGTGCAGGAGGCTGCTTTCCACGATCACTGCTGGATGGAACAAGGTGCAGAAAGATCGCAGGAGGACAGGAGAGGCTGTCACGGGGACACTGGGCCTGGGGTTGCCTTTGGGCTGGGAGATTCTGTGGTGTTCAGGACTGTGTCGCAGCAGGGTTCCAGGACCAGGCTCAGGAGCCCTCTCTGATGGAGTTGGTAGGAGGGAAGCACTGCTCTTCACTAGGATATGGTAGGTACTCATGTTTGGAGGACATGTGACCCTGTGGTGCGGCCTCCTCACATTTAAAAATCATTTAGTTAGCTTGGCATGGTTGTGGGTGCCTGGAATCCCAGGATTGAGGAGGCTGAGGCCGGCGTATTGTAAATTTGAGATCAGCCTTGGCTACATAGCAAGTTCAAGCCTGGCCTGGACTATATATGGAGACCCTGTCTCAAAAAACAAAGCAACTAAACCAAAATAATCTATGGCTGTGTTTCTTAAATTTAATGTGCATAAAATGATCATTCTGGTGTCTCTTCAAGTGCAGATTCTGATTCAGATGAAATGGGTGAACCTCAGCTTCTGAAGTTCTGAGAAGATGCTGTGGCCGCCCCTGCTGCTGATCCTTGGGCCATGGTTAGTGTAGCAAGGTCGATCCTCTGGGCTATAGCCAAGAGAAGCTATAGGTGTTAGAAAGTTAGAGAATCCCAGATGCCTCGGGTTGTAGGCTCCTCCTCACTCTTCCCACTCCCAGCACCAGCAAGTCATGCGGCTTCTTGCTGACCCTTTACTCCCCAAGGTCTGCTCAGTGCTGCAAGGTCAATGGACTACCTAACAGGCCACAGGAGTCCTACTTGGCCCTGGCTGAGAGAATCTGTGGAAAGTACTGTGAGCAGGGCGGCAGTAGATCCAAGCACACTTGCAGTTCTTAAATTGACAGCAGGGTGTAGAGAGTAGCTCAGTAATAGAGAATTAGAACATGTGCCTAGTCTTCCAGTGGCCCTGGGTTCTTTGTCTTTTTTTTTTTTTTTTTTTTTTATTTTTTGTGTGTGTGTGTGTGTGTGTGTGTGTGTGTGTGTCCAGCTCAGCCCACCAGGGGGCGGGGCTGGCTGGCATGTGGTGCTGGGGGATTGAACCGCGGTCCCTGTGCTTTTTGCTAAGCTTGTTCTAAGTAGGTGCTTTAGACCACTGAGCCATCTCACCAGCCCCTTCTTTGTCTTCTTGAGATAGAGTCTCACTAGGTAGTTCAGGCTGGCTTTGAACTCACTATGTAGCCCAGACTATCCTCAAACTCATGGTGATCCTCTTGCCTCAGCCTTCTGAATGCTAGGATTGCAGGCATGTGTCACCACACCTAGCTAGCCCTGGGTTCTATGCAGAGCACCACAAAGAAATGAAGACAAAAAAAAAAAAAAAAAAAAAAAAAAAAAAAAAAAAAAAAGTGAAAACTAACAGCTAGACTCCTCCTTTCCCTTTACTCTCTCCTGAAGTAGATGCCCCTTCTCTTCTCTTACCCTCCTTCCTGCCCAGCCATTAGGAAGCTTGTTCATGGAACCTTCGCTTGGGCGCTCTCTACCTCAGTTTCAGAACACACCTGGCTATGAAATGTATGTGCAAAGGTTTCCAGGCAGGAATGTTCCTGGGAGGAAGCTGATAGAATTCCTGCTGCCTGCTGGATCTGATGGTGCTTCCTGGTTGGAGATGTAGAGATCTCAGTAGATTTAGCATCAGAGAAGATGATAAACACCTCCCACTTACGAGACCAGACACACTCTGTGCCCTGCACAGTGCGAAAGGATTAAAAATGAATGCACGGAAATTTCCCAAGGTTTAAAAGATTTAGCTAACTAGGTAGCCCCCAAAAGAATACCCAGATGAAAAAACTAAAGTGCTGTCCGCAGGTGGGATCAAGCCTGCTGATCTGATGCCAGCAACCTCCTCCCCAGGACCCCATTCCCCTAGGTTTGTGAGAACTCCTAGAGCTTCTGCTCTCTAAGAAGTCTGCACTGTGGCTGTGGGAAGTCTGACTGTTGAAAAACTCCTGCCAGACAGCCACCCACAAGTCCTTTCTTTTCTGCTTGAGCCCCTTGAGCTGACTGTGGGGGCTGCCAGAAAAGAGCAAGCTTCCGTCTGTCCACATGTCTGAGAATTGTCCTTGGCATTTCACCTTAATTCCTTGTGTATTTTATGCACACTTTGTGGCCATGCCAGCTCCCAAGGCTAGGAGGTGCTCTGCTCTGTGCCCTCCTCCTCCCCAGGCCCCTGCTCCTTGTGCCAGGGGCCGAACACAGCCTTTGTGTTCCGAGGTTCCCACTAGCTGTGTACAACCTGCTTATCCCCTACAGTGCCACAGCTGGCTCTATGCAGTGGCCTTGGAGGGGGCTGAGAACTGAGAATCATAAATCAGAAAGGATCATAACTTGATCTCGAATGATCAGTGTAGTTTCTCTAAGGCACTTTGTGTTTCTGGAAGGGTTATGGCAGCGAGCAGTTTTTACTGTCATCAACACCATCAATTCAGATTACTACTAATAAGGTTAATCCCCTTAGCCAATAGAAGTGTTCATTACAACACTTGTAGGTTTTAGGTCATTATTTAATAAAGGCAATATAGATGATGGTGATAACGAGAGGGAACATTCCCAAACTGGGGTTTAGAGCCAAAGGAAACATCCAAAGCAGATCTGATCTTTAATGATTTTTGCTAATGTGAGTTGGGCACCTGCTGTGCACCCCAAATTGGTCCCACACTTTTTTTCCATGTTATTTCATTGATTCTTCACAATAGCCTTTTGAGGTGGGTACTAGTTATACTTTGCAAGGTGAGGAAATTAAGGCTCAAAGGATTAGGAGCCTTGCACAAGATCCTAGCCAAGTGGCGGAGCCGGCTGGAAACAGGTCTGTCTGACTCCAGGCTCTTGGCTCTCATCAGGCAATGAGGGCAGAAGGTTTGAGGATGAAACTTTGGGAGCAAGGAGGTGAGCCTGGCAGTGGGCCCTGGATGCCAAAGGAGGGGCTCAGATGAGAGCTCCTGGCCAGAAAAAAATTCAGCCAAAACCCAGGGAAGCTAGAGGACAGCCAGCCAGATGGACAGAGGGCAGTGCAGAGAGGATGCGGAAGACAGGAATGCACACGCATGTATGAGCCGCAATGTTTAGGACGTCAGTGCCCTCGGCCCAGAGCTGCCCCCATGCAGAGCAGAGACGTGCATGGAGTCACTTCGCTGTTGCAGCCTCCTAAGCAGCCAGTGTAGACTGACTGAATAATTTGATTGATTGGACAAAGCCAGGTTTTCTCAGCAACTGCTTGATTGATTCACTGGGAAAACAGAAGTGTTTATATAAACACAAAAGCAGTTGAAGGAGCAAGCTGCCAGAGTCATTGAGGACAGTGAATCAGAGAATGAGATAGAAACTGTGATGGAGAAGCCAGGGTCCAGTCCAGATTGGGGCCAGGGTGTAGGGGTGTGGGGGATGTTTAAGATCAGAGTGGAGAAACCAGCCAGGTTATAAGGGAGAGAAGCCTCTCAGACCCTGGCGGGTCCCCAGGGAATATTTCATACTAGTTACCTTTAAACAAACTGCATACCCCTCCCATCCATCAAATCCTCGATCTCATTAGAAGCCTCTGACCTCTCCCTTGATCTCAGCCCCAAGTGGAGAATGGTTAGTCCTGAGACCTCCTTAATGCTATTAGCTAAAGCCACTTAGGTAGAAGGGTAAGGAGCTGGGACCAGAAAAACAAAGCTGACCACCTTTCTCCTCATGCTGCTGGAGGCAGGCAGCAGTAAGGCCCCCTTTGGCCTCCCCTCAGGCCTCTTTCCCTGCTCTGGGACAGAGAGGCATGCAGGCAGAGGCCGCAGGGCAGCAAGGAGCCCTTCTTGATGCCTCCTGCATCCCCAACTCTGGTGAGGCTTCCCAGGGGTCCTACATCAGCCCTGCACCCCTCTCCAGGCTCAGCTGTCCCCCAGCTCCTCCTGGCTTCCACCACTCACAGTGACTGTAGTCTCTGCATCTCTGGAGGCTGTGGGATTTAAAAGGCTTGTGTAATTCAGTGGAGCACAAATTGAAGCAGAGACACCCCTATGTCCCACCCCGAGACCCTTGTCAAGGGGCAGTTGAAGGTCAGGGGGAAGGGGCCTGGGAGATGGCTCAGTGGAATAAGCGCTTGCCTGGCAAGCACAGGGGCCTGAGTTCAATCTCCACTGGAAAAAAAAAAAAAAAGAAAAGGGTCAGGGGGAAATTGTGGCCTCACCCACTCCCAGCAGCCAGGGGTGTCCAGTGACCTGCTTGGGACCATCCCACTGGCCCTTGTAGGCTTCTGTTCTGCTCTGACCTTTCCTCTTGAGCTCATTGCCCTCTCCTTCCTAGTTTCACCCTTCCCTCCCCTTCCCTTTTCCCGTCTTCCTTCCTGCTCCTACCCACCAGTGGCTCTTGGTTTTCTCCCTGCCATCAATCATTTTGTGGCGTGTTCTCCCACTCTTTTCTCTGTTCCCCTTTGTCTTTACTGTCTCTCTGTTGCCTGGTTCCTTCCGCTCAAGTGTGGCCTCTGTCTCACACTTTTTGCCCAACCCTTTCTCTGTTTGTCACTGGCTCTCATTGTCACTTTCTGTTTTCGTTTCTCTTTCTGTCCTTCCTCTCTAGTCTACCTACCTCTCCTGTGCTTCAGACTGGAAACTGAACCCTTT